CTCTTGGCAGGCTCAAAAGCTTAGAGAGGGCTCCTAGCTCGAGCTGCTGAGTCGTGCAAGCGAATGACTGCCTCTCTCGGACTGAAGACGGGGGTTTTTATACCGGGAAGGAGATCATAAAGTTGGGTCATTTGTGACCGTTGCAAAGACTTTGTCAAGAAGAAAAGCGAGGGAGGGGGTAAGACATGCGGAGCACACGTGCGGATCACGTGATTGTTCCTTACATCGCACATTGGCCTCCATATATCCCTATATACAGTACCAGGAATCTGCCTGGTACTTTAAATTAAAACGTTCCCCTTTTAAGAAGAGTAAGGAAGGCGATCTTACTTCCGTTTTTGCTACACTATGAATGGGAATTCTGCGTTGATGCCTTTTCCTCTTGAAAAAATAGAATCGAAGTGCGAAAATTGACCGAAGTTCATCATTTCGATCAACCGAATTATCGGGGCATAGATTTTCCATGTCCAATGCCTTAACCGGCATTTTTTCCCATCCACGCTACGCTTCTGGATACTGACATCATGTTATGGCTAGTGCTTGATTATAGACTCGATCCTGTGTTCCTTGGAAGGAATTTCAAGAGAGATTTCACTCTTGTGCTTATAATGGAGTTGAATGGCATCATTTTCGAAGGAAAGCATGCCTCAATTTTTAGACTGGAAGAAAATGTGAGATTTCCCCCTTTTGCGACTGCTCGGACGATCTCGCGCTAACAGTTCCATCACCCCGCACAGCCCCACTCGAAACTCTACATTCAAACCTTCATAGCCCTGCCACGACCGAAACGACCATCCCCAGTCGCACATGTAGAAACCCACTTCGATCCCGGCACTCACGTGAATGGCAGGTGAGGAAGCGCGAGAGCGGTAGCGTGAAAGCGCGTGTGCCTTCTTCGATTTCAGCACCAGCCTCTCCTTCATTCAAGAGGCGAGTGCATGGAGCGATAGGGACGATTGATAGAAGCCATCTCTCACGGCTTTTTTTCATTTTAGGTTTCAGGAGAAAGTTGAGATGAAATATCGGGAAAATCTGGAAGGAGTCTACGGCGGTGAGCCTCCACGATTCCAACCGGCAGAGCTTCTAATTGCAGTTGAAGTGCCAAGGCCTTTCATTCCATGTATGTCGGTTGTCAGATGTGCAAGGTTGATGTTAACTTGCTGAGCTCACATTCAAGCCTTCTTTGTAGAAGAGGAAATGAAAATATTTTCCCATCATTTGTTCTAGGTTAGCGCAATTTTTTGTCTCGCACGGCAAAATATTAGCGACGAATGAGTCCTCATATTTTGACGTCATCCAAAGCAACCAGGGCAAAGAACCGGAGACGATTCGTGGAAGTGGGTGTGTCGCTGTGCTCCATCGACCCGGTTGGCGGCTAGGCGCATTGGACCGGCCTTCTCCCTTCTTCCTTCATGCGGTGGACTGCGTCTTCTGCTCGGGACATTGAAAGTGAGAATTCCTTGAGAGTTGCTGACTAAGAAGTTTCTAAGGTTTTCCTGGAATCATCTGGACGCCCGACAACATCACACTTTTTTTTGTCTTTCACTTTTCATTCATCTAGCCTGTTTTCTGAGTTGCTTAAGAGACTCACATTGTAGAAGGGCATGTCCATGGCCAAGCGCCCATTAATGAAAGTTTTACAAGGCCGTTAGCCGTAGTCAAGGCAGTCTAAGACGCTCTTTAGCGTGCATGGCGTGTATTTAACTGAAGTTGAGCCAAGCTGTTCGGCCTAACTCAGCCCGGTCATCTCTCCCGTCATATCTGGGATCGGGGTAAGCTCAGTGTGTGTCTTTACACGCGACAATGGCGGACCTGTGCTTGGTCAATGGGCGAACTGGAGGGACTCACAATTGGACGATAAGGTTTACGAAATGTGTCTCTGCCTAATGGAGATATAATTATACTTGGGAGTCTTTTTTGCCATTCTAGCAAATATATTAACAATTTTCGCGCGTTTGGCACTCCACAATATGAGTAAAATGATTCAATAGTTAGAAACGTGTACTTACGGCGGTCGCACTTCCTGAGGCTGTGAAATTCCATGGATAATTGGTATTTTTCACTGTGACGTGAAGTAAGTTTCATTTGCAGGACGTCACTGTTATATTTAAGTCAATAATATTAAATAGATGGGGAGTCTTAGGTTCGTTTCAAAGATTCCCCGTAGAATACTCGCTACAGGATCTTTCCTAACACAACCCCAAAAGAGGCGCACTCTAGGCATATGCGAGATTTTGTGGATTGGAGTTCATCCAATCCACGGTTGAGTAAATCGTATCTGCAAATTGTAAGGCTTAGTGGCGATTCTGAAATCTGTTCAGTGGATTCTGAAATGCAGAAGGAAAATATAAAAAAGTGGTGCGAGACTCAGTTGGTCGGGCAGATCCTCCCTTGAGCGTTTTCCCAGAGTATGTTAGAAGTAAATGATAAATCTGCAAGTCAAGCTCGAAACCCTCTCTCCTAGCAATAGTATGCGTAAAACGTGCCGATTCAGTCCAGTAAATGTGCAATGTTCGCAACGTCATAAAGTCAAATATAGTCGTGCCAAACACGATCCGACTGTTTTGCACAAATGTGCAACAATTCACCCAGGTGTGGAGACATGCACATCCATTGATTCAAACACACGCTCATTGATATGCATGACTTCTTGAACGTGACATTGACCCTCTTGTTACCATTGTACCCTCTTGTTTCACAGATATTGAAGAAATTACTTTGTAAAATGAAGATTCCAGTTCTGGAAACATGTTGCTGTGGGTGTATGACAATCAGGAAGGGGAGCCTCGTCCTTGCAATTTTGGGCGTGGTACGTCACAGCTTTCTACTTACCATACTCTTCTCTGTTACAAAACTGTTCCCGAACTTATAACCAGAGCTAGTGTCTGCATTGCCGTGAAATTTTTTCACTAAAAGAGGTTTCTTGAGTAAAAAGGGAAATATTTACTGTACTTCCACTTCGAGATTCAAGTTTATTACCTTTACATGTGGTGACTTACGGTGTTGGGCACGTGAATTGGATTTTTGCAGTTTTCTCAGTAGCTTTTGGGCTTTTCAGATGCATGATTGCTTCAGATTTTAATGCTTTGGCGTTGAAGACAAGGTATTCAGAGCACACTCCATTATAAAACATGTTCCACATCGAAGGCCAAGTTCTTCCTCTAATATAAAAGCCCATAATCGTGGCCTAACCCAAATCTGTCTTTCATAGGTCGGTAATATCGCTTCCCTCTCCCGGAACCTGTCCTCTTTGATTGGACTCAGGGGAGTTCAGAAATTCCCTGGCTTCATGGAGGGAATATCGCCAGACGGTGAGTTTTAATTCCGAGTTCAGGTTTTCATATGCAATTTAATTTACTAATTATTTAATTAATCCACTTCATCAGAAACCTTCATAAATCATACGTTGCGAGTAAATGGACATTTCTCTCAGAAAACCTGGAATGGGCGATCTCAAAAAAGTGTTTGCTTAAGAGAATCACTCCTGTCTTTCAGTGTTGCGCAACATCCTGATTGCCGCGATCGTCCTCGATGCAGTGATGTTGGTAGTTAATTCTCTTCTCGTCTATGGAATCCAAATGGTTCGTTTCCAAAATAAGGGCGACGATGAAAATTCTCAGATTGTTCTCTCAAGCATATTCTCAAAGAGCAATGACCGTGAAACTGTCTTTCTTTGCGTCGGGAGGTTGTGGAGACCTACATCGATGAAAATGAACGTGGGGAGCATAAATATTCGATAATTGGCCCGTAGGTGGTAGGGATTCAAACGAAGGAGACACTATCCTTTGGTGTTTGAGAGCTTGAAAAAGTAGGTTAAAACTCTGGTGTGAACGTATGAACAGTAATCGTATTCAGGGCTGGTTTTGCCGATTTTCAAAGTTCCATTCACAGCCGCTTGCCTTCCTGTTCTATTACTGAAAATTCTCGCACCACGGAAAATATGACTTTTCATTCCTTTCATGTTTCTCTTTACGACGAGGAGACCAGGACCACAAGTCTTAGGCTTCCTCCAAATTCCGATTCAGCTTTCAGAGAAACCTTCTCCATGTTAACCCTTTCACTACCGAGGACTTTTTGCCCATCCAGCCTCTTTTTGCCTCTCTTTCATGGCAGTGAAGGTTCGTCGCACTGAACGCTCCATATGGCGTGAACGACAGCGAAAGGGTTAATTAAAGCTTCTCGGTGAATGGGATGCATGGAATTCCATCATGCAAACTTTCATCGGATGTGGATCTTTCCTGAAATCCAGTCTCAATCATATTTTTAACGTGAGAAGAAAGTCGCGCTCCATTTCATGGATGCTGCTCTGCATTTGCCACGTACAACAGGGTGGGCGCGAAGTCCCTTCAAAATCAATTGAAAATAATAGTAAATAGCATAATAACATAAAACAAAGACAAATTTTATTTAATCCAAATGTATTAGGAATCCAAAATATCAGTGTGCAGCCCATCATTGTCACGGCACAACTCAATGCAGTGCCGTGTCCTCTTAGCTACCTTTTTCAATTTGTCGTTCATCTATTTCAGAAGAAGCTGTCGTGCTTGCTGTTTTGAGTTGGTCATCTGTCAGATAGCGCTTTTTCGCACATTTTCTTTAATAAACCACCATAAACTGTAATCATATGCATGTTGATCACTTAAAAATTTTTGCTTGCATATTGATGGGACTTAGTGCTTACCCTGTATGCTGTACCGTATCGAAAAAATAACTGTAATTGGTGAAAAATTACGATGCATTACCTGTATGTACTGATTCGTTGCATCAGTATTGCCGAAGACAATGAGGAAACCGCAGTAAGAAAAATCAAAATTTACAAAAATCGGACAGGACACCATTAATTTTCTCACCTGCATATCATTGCTCTTTGACTTAAGCGAAATGGATGAAGTCATTCACGAGGGGTTGCCTCTCTAACAGAGATGTAATAGCCGAATATTTCAGATGAAGAGAAGACTGATGATTCCGTGGCTGGGTATCGCTCTCCTTTGGTTCATCCTGTATCCTGTAGCTGCAATCATTATAATCGTGCTCGTGTGTGTCTATGTCCAAGAAGGTATCGTCATCACCTTTGTCATCGTCGTCGTCGTCCTTGCCCTTATCATTGGTCACTCTCTTGGAATCTACTTCTTTCTTGTCATCTACTCCTACTTCAAGGTGAGTGGATATGGCATTTCGTCAAAGAGTGAATGAAGGTTAAGGATGCCTTCAAGAATTGTAACTCCCCTCTGCACTCCGAACGTTATTAAATGCCCTCTTGGCCGTTTGGGGAAACATCCAGAAGCAAGGAAACGAGATTCTCATATTCTCATTTTAAAGAATGACTGTTGGAGATTTCGTTGTCGGTTGTTCCCACAATAGGGAGGAAAACAACAAATCATAAGTCGTTGTAGTATATAAGATATATTCTTTATCTTTCTACTGACACTATTTTTTGCACAGTAACTTCTCCACATCAGAAGAAACTTTTCCAAATATTAGCAAATATGAGAAAATTCTGTCTGATGGTTTTGTCTTCGTGGCGAAGAAGTGAAACAAATAACTGGATTCATCGATACATATGAAAGAGGATTTGCGAGAAAATTGTCATTTTTCGCCATATAGGTAAAAGTCGAAATTGCCTAAATTTCTCATTTTCAAACTGAACTAGGATGCTGGAGTCGAATTCAAACTCCATGGAAGTACAGTATTGTGGGAATTAAAGGGCACTCATTGAAGCTATATCTCGCCTTCATAGGATGAACGCATCTTGAGACTGAAATTTTGCCGTCTCTGCGGCTTTTCCGTTTTCCTTCGAAGGGTGATATCGTGCTGACAGCAACAGATCCGACATAAGCTATTAAAAAAAAAGTGGAACTGCTATATTGATTGTAATCGCTGATAATTTTTTAAATCGCGAGATCCAAGATGGATGAACGCCCTGCCTGATAGAGTAAATACGGAACGACCTAATCTGACTGCTATTAATACTTCGGTCATTCGAGTTAGTTCTCGCTGCATGGTAATTTAATAATTTCCTTGTTTGAGGGTAACAATCAAATGAAAAAGAGGCTAAATGCTCTATGCTCAGTGGAAAAGTCACCACGTTGGTACAAGGTTGCAGCAAGGTGGCATTAAATTTCCCAAGTGTGCTTGTGACTGTTGACGATTTTCAGATGTTCCCATTCCTAGTTTGTAGATGAGTGGACTGGAATGGTATGGGCGAAAGAGAGTACGAGAGTGAGACTTTGGAACAAATCACTGCACTTGAGCATTTTCGATAGTGGACCGTAGTAGGAAATCTTTTTCCTAGTTCAAGTTTATCTGATGAGACTGGGAAACAGTCCTTTTCTTTTCTCCTCTTATGCAACCTTCTTTTCCCTCTGTGCACCACCTGGTCACACTCATACTAAAGAGCATAGTGACAGTTATTTTAAAATCACACTCCACGATTCCCATAGGTTTTACTCCTAGAATCCCATAGGAATCCTATAGGATTCCCATGGGATTCCTATTGGGAATTTTCCGTAAGGATATCCGAAATTGCTACTGTATATCACTAATCCAAGGAAGAATACTTTTGGGGCCAAAATTATTTCAAAATAATTTTGGCCCCATGTTCAATGTTTCCAAGGGGTAGACGTAGACATGCAGTGCCTGGCTTGAAAATTAATTCCGGGAAAGCAAAAAAAAAGGATATCAATTAAACTTTTCCATCTCAAATGCTTTAACTGTAAAATTGGCATCAGTTTCGCCACAAGGTCATTTTCAAATTCAAAAATTACTCAGATGTGCGAACATGTTCAAATATTTTATGAACCCAGTTATTCTGACATTTTTTTAATCGCCGAAGTTTTCTCTTTTATCTTTTGAAATGGGACCGTACCTTCAGATTTTAAACCCATAGTCCCACAGGGGTCAAGCTCCGCCTAGGAAATTTCGTATACGCATAGCTTTTGAGCAATTGGTCGGAGAGTGAAAAAATGTGACAAACCTATCTCTACTCAAAAACGAAACCACACACCAAATGTCATCAATTTCTGAGAGAGTACCCCGTAATGAATCAAGTTTAATTGGGTGATTTGTCATGGGATGTAAAAACCCCTTATATTTGAAAATTCACATTGTCTACTTTATATATTTAATATTGCCTCTTCTCATTATAACTATAGATTGAGGAACAGAGGATTCATTTTGTCACGGGTTTGGATGTGACTTAATGGTTAAGTTAAGCCAAAGGTAGCGGGCTTATGGGTTCTGTGCCCGTGACAAGCAGTGTGCTGAACAAAAACAAGTGGATTCTCAATCACACACAAACACACATTTATTTAGAGTAAATCTGTTACATAGATCTAGGAATGGCGTATTTTGCGCTTCTGTCCTCACGCCTTCCACCTCCACAGTGTTGCCAAGCCAAACAGGACACAGAGACATATAACCGGCACAACATTCACCCAAAAAGAACTGCCAAATATGGCCAAGGAATCCAGGCCCACTGGGGGATTGTGAACCACGGCTGGGCTGCACAGAGGTCACTCCCCCAGGACTACAATCACACTTCAACACAAAAACATACAGAAAGTGGAGAGAGTGACCACCTCACAATTTAGAGAGACTGCACTTCTTGCCTGAAACACGCCTGAAGGTACCACCTCGCAAATTACACTTAATATGTAATTACATTGATATGTAATGTAATGGCGCAGATGGGGAGGGAATCGCTTCGGAATGCCGACCCAGCCTAATGGGATTAAAGAAATCATAGTCATACCCCGAGAGACCGAAGAAGGCCAATACTGTCTAAATAATGCATTCTGAAGTTGCGACTAACACCTCGGACTCAGGAGTGTCTGAATGATTGCAATAGTGAACGATTGTGATAATGATGACCAATTGCATTTCAGGAACTTGAGAATGCAGTCTCGCCTGAAGGAGCCGTGCGTCTCCAGGAAGACTAAAAAGCAAATGGATTTCGAAGAATCCCACCCAACTTCACCATCAGACCAATACTGAACTTCATTACCCAGATATTTCCATTTTTTATCTTCTATCCAAGGAGTTGACAGGGGTTACCACGGATTTCATGTGCTTGGAAGCAGAATAGAGTTTCCTTCTTCACATCACAGAGAGAGCTTAATGACTTGAGCAATTCAGTTCGGTGTAACCAGTGTATCCCTACTGTATACACTTGAACACGCCTAGCAGGAGCAATGAGGTTACTAACGACGTCACGTAATTTCTAAAACCTCGATAGATATCCCAATGGAAAAATCCAATAAGATTCTCATGAATGTCAAAAACTCAGAGGTGGTTCCCATAGTATGGAGGGAAGGATGTAGGAAAGCCTTCATAGTGGCAAAATGCATATCCTTTCGTGATCCCCAATGATGTGATTCCAATCCAAGTAATGTTTAATTCCTTTTCACTAAGGGTATCAGTGAGCTGTACCAGGCATGTCATTTGTGCAGAAATTTTCCAGCATGATTTAAAAAAAAAAAAGTTAGTCACAGGTGAAAAGACAACCTTCATAGCTGAATACAAGCAAGTATGATGCTAATGGTAAATCACGCAAAGAAAGGGGAATTATGCTCATATTAAGAATAAGATCTGCAGAGAATGGAAAATATATTGGCAGCAGGTGGATTTGGCACTCGATCATGCGAATGGAGCATTACATCAAGAAAGGCGAAGAAAAATTGAAATCCCAGAACCGCGACGGGAATCCACCAGTGAGCCACCACTGATGTCAATTGTCAAAGCTCATTTCACCTATCATCCTACGTGGCACCTCAGCACGTCGAAGAAGCATGGTGCCCATGAAGCAAAAAGGAAAATTCTCCCATTACACATATGGTTGTGTAATAGGAGAAGCGTTTCCCACTGCTTCCTACGACGCACCTTCTCGGTGTCGGCGCACAGACGCGAGACCGCAACGACGAGAATTGAACAATGAACTTCCCGAATTTTTTTTGTTGAGTCCCAGTCTGAAGAACCACCAACCATCAAATATCAACTCATGCGAATGGAAGAAGGCAGGGAGCATGCAGCGAATAGCACAATCACGATTCGCAAATATCTTTCTTTTTTTTTATTACTCCATCCTCCCGTCTTCAACAGATTATACTTGGTATTTTTTGCTTTCAACCGATGCGACTGCGATGCGAAAAAAAAACAGTACTGTCTTTAAAGAGCTCTCGCGTTTGTCGTCTACCTTACGTCATTCGCGAGCTCTTCCAAAGGAGTAAAGGATTCATTATGCGATTCTGAAATCCTGCATTTTGAGAAATGGACCTCTAAGAGGAAACTGCGGCGATGGCCTTTTTGCGAGCCTGTGTGCACGCAAGTAGCGACAAACCGACGAATCGCCCCGTATTTCATCATGGACGCTTGAAATCCCTCGATTCCCGGGCAGCAGACGGGAGGAACTGCAGTGAGCGATGCCAGCGTTCCCTTTCGAGTACGACGGCAACTCTCGTCTCCTCGTTCATCCGACAGATGGCGAGATGAGAGCAAATCTCCGATTTTCCGTGAAAGTGGCATCCCCTCCCTTTCGTGAGGCTGATTTGCAAATTTCATTTCGCAAGGGCACATCCTCGGATGATAAGGGAGATTTCAGTTGAAACCCCAAGTACCAAGTACTAAGTACCAAACCCGATACATCTCGAAGCGTTTGGCCGGTAGAGCTGTCACACCCTCACGAACAGATGTTTGTTGCTCGGCGTAGCTGAAGGTCAGGATCGTGCCAGCTCAATTTTTTACCTCCGGTCCTCCGGTTTGGAAAAGAAAAGCGAGATTTCTTCAGTCAGCCGAAGACTGCGCATACAAAGGTATATCGATAAATCAGGTAATGACACAAATCGGTGTCAATGGAAAGAAGATCAGGTAACGACACCGATCGGTGCCAACGGAATGATCAGGTAACGACACCAATCGGTGCCAACGGAATGATCAGGTAACGACACCAATCGGTGCCAACGGAATGATCAGGTAACGACACCAATCGGTGCCAACGGAATGATCAGGTAACGACACCAATCGTACAGTTCCTCGAGCATGCGTGGGCGCCGCGTTCGCTCCCACTCCCGAGTCTGCCTTCACTCGCGCGGGTGCTTCACCATTCCTCTTCCTCTCAGTCTTTCGTTTCTCGCAAGAACGACAGGCAACTCCTCCCGGAATTGCTCAAATGATTCCAGACAAGATTCGAAATGACACGTCGTCCAATTGTGGATTGAAAGGCGCTGCAGATAGAAGAGTGAATTGGAATTCTAATTTTGTCCTGTGGTCCTTTCTACTGCCTGCTGGTGTCTTTTTTGACATCCATTACATTTTAAAAATTATATTCTCTTTGGAAATCTCACCGTCTCTGAACTATTTTCGTTCGGCACTCTGTCGCAGCTTTCTAATTTCGAGGATTTCAAACCGACTCAAAATGTGGGGGAGAAGATTTTTTTGGAGGATGGGAAAGCCCCTTCCATTTGAGACTTTGAAATCATCACGGGTAATACTAGCAACAAAAAAAAGTGAGTGGCTGAGACGGATCCTTCCATCATTCCCTCTCTGCTTTGTAGAGACATTTGCAACATTTGTATTGCTCGAAGATTAGAAAGATCAAAGATAAAAAAAAGGGAACTTTTCAACGATGCGGCTTTTGCGGCGATGGTGCGGGATTCCGAGCCATCTGCAAGATCAGGGCTACCTTCACTCAATAAGTTTCAGATAGGGCCTAAGGATTTTTTTCTTTTAATGGATGCTAAATACATTTTATGAAATAAGACGGGCGATCTGGGCACATTCAGAGGAATTCAACTGCACGGAGGGAAAAAAATGGTGCATCTGTTAAAGAAATACATCTCCATTACATGTTCCTCAACTTTTCCGGCCGGGGTTAAAAACCAGCCTTTACAGGTATTAAAGTGAATTCAGATGAGTCCAAAAGGAGAATGGAAGAGTTGAAGGAGCAAGAAGACGACGTTCGAAAGCGTAAAAAGCTCATGAGAAACCGCAGCGCTCCGGCCGAGGGAAGGCGTAGGAGTGGGAACGAAAAGAAGGCGTCCGAGACGCTCGTGTCATCACCCGATCGCTCGACCTGTATGTGCCTTGGTGTTTGCCGGGTGACGTGATTGGCTCTCGAGCCCCGTCCCCCGGTGGGATGTAGCCCAGCCTGGTCGAGTCTTCTGACCCGGCTTCGAAATGGAGGGGCGTGGGACTGTTCTTCCGGACTCGACCTCGCTCAAGTCGTCATCCGCATCCGACCAGAAACTCGAATGGCAACTCACACCCGATCTGGGGAAAGAAAAGATCGGCCCACGGTTTCGTATCGTGTCGGTGCTAGGGGTACGTCCGAGGCATACGGTTGATGTTCGATCCATTCCTTCCATTACTTCAGCCCTGTACATGGGGAGGGTGTTACGCAATTAGTCCAGTCCAGTCGGTGATTGCTCGTGGTTCCAGTATATATGATGCAGGAAAATATAAATAAACTTCTCAAAAATCCCCGGTCCTGGAGTTGGTTTATTTCTTCCGGATTCTTTTTGCGACGTTTCCCAGCCCGACCAGACTCCAGGATATCTCACAGGAATTTTGGCACTCATCGGGGCCGAACGGAACGTGTTTATACTTCGGATTGCTGTACGGGAGAAGCATTTGTGCCTATATTGACTTTCCGCCCCTCTCACACCTCCCAATTCAATACAGGCCAATCCTGTTCCCATTTCTCCTCAGCCTTTCCCTCTTCACTCCTCCCTCTTCTCCTCCCTCCTCTCCTCCCTCTTCACTCCTCCCTCCTCTCCTCCCTCCTCTCCTCCCTCTTCTCCTCCCTCCTCCCCTTCTCTTTGGAGGCTTCTAGCTTCTTTCAGCGTTGCGTCTTCTCACAACTCACGCTTTTGGTAATTCCTTTTAGGAATTTGTCCAAAAACTTTTAGTTTAAGAGTTTTAATTAAAATCGGTTAATGGAATCGGTAGTTGAAATTTACTCGTGCAACGGCATTAATCTGGTATAAATATTGCGTAGAAGGATATTCATGGCAAGAATATACATACCATGACAACTGACTGGTATAAAAGTAAAAGTTTAACAACGCTGGGTCTTCCAGGAAATTGTCTTGGCTGACGAGCAATTAACAGAGCAATTAGCAGGGTTATATAGCTATCTCACTGACCTTCCATGAGTCCAAAATTGACCTGACTGAAAAAAAATTAAATGAAAGTTGATGAGTGACAATGGAAGACAATTTTGAGGATTCACGTTCTCAGCCATTCCTATGCTTTTGTATTTAAACACTGAAGCTGTGTCGCATGATATAGGTCGGAATGCGTCGGGTGACACAGGAATAAGTTTTCTTTTTATAAAGGGGAGATATTGATACACTCCGAAATTAATCTATCTTCAGAATCTCTCATTTGAGACACTCATGGCATGTTTTTTCAGGACAACACGAGGGAACTCTCTCAAGACGCGTATCTGTGAGTAATGAAAGACATTATAACGTGCGGTTTCTCTGCGTGTAGGCACCGCGTAAACAAGTCACGCCCGAATAATACTCCCAAGGTTACACACTATGCAACACATGTGTGCCGTTCTGCGTCTAGGATCACACTCCCTCCTCGGCATTCCTCACGCGCCGACCAGTCAGAGACGGGGATTCCTTTATTAGAGGGAGGATGGTCCCGGGAGTGTGAAGTAAGAGCCCATGTGTGTGCCGAGAAGGAGGTCGCGTTCGCTCCCAGCCATCGCATCGGTCGTGTTCCCTCGACGCTCAGTGACTCCGTCGACTGCTCTTAGGTGAGACCTCTCCTATTCCTCTTCTCTTGGTCGGCCGGGATGGGACGCATCTCATCTCATTTTAGCTCAGACTATAGTAGTATATTTTGGCGCTTAACGGACTAAAGCCGTGTGGGTTTCAACCCTACACTATTAGAAAAGAGTGAGCGGTTTCCTCGAAAGCTAGCTAAACTGGAGTAATTTAGGGATTTTACTCCCTAAAAATGAGGAAGTGCAATCGATGACGAATCCTTTACGTGAGCCGAATCCGTAACTTTTTTAAGAATGCGAAACGAAGGAGACTTTTCAACCTAGTATAAATATTTAGCGGTTATTTTAAGGAAAGAGCGACAATACTTCCTTGCTGTTAGGGAGTAAAATCGCTCACTCCAGTTTCTTTCCTTCGAGGATAATCGCTCGCTGTTTTTTAGACCAAAAAAAAAAGGAAGAAAACTGACGAGCCCCTTGTCCTTTCGTCACCAAACTTCCGAACAGGCGAATACAATGGGCTTCCGAGAGTCTCCAGTTAGGTCTGGATTAGTCGATATCAAAGGGATGCTGAATTTCCGTCTGATTTCAGCAACATCGCTCCCTTTTCCGTTCTTCCCATGATGACGACTTTCTCCGGAAAGCCTGAAAAGGAAAGGGCTACCGCTACATCGTCTCAAAGCGTTCCATGTATTTACGACCTCCATATGAAGACATTTCGCAACCTCAGTCTCACTTGGGGATTACGTAAACCGAACCGGTTCCCGTCCGTCCTCCATGTATAATTGGGTTAGAAGGAAGTACCACGCCGTGTTCTCGATTCCCTTAACCCTTTCACAGCAGGGTTTTCAATGGTGCGCTTTCGCGGTGGTTTTTTTTTTCACCTTCCGAATGTAAAGCAACTCCGATTTGAGGGTACATAAGTAATTGGAATTGTGGTAGGACAGGGACTCGCTTTAGGAAAGGTGAAGTTTGAAAACGAAAGAGTCGATGACCCTGAAAGCCTGGATAAGGACCCGCCTCGTTTCATCTCGTGCGAGTGGATCCCCCAACGCTTTCCGATTCGCGCCTGAATCCCCGAATCCCGCTTTCGCCGACCTCGTGGCATCGAGGGGGAGCCGCCTTCCGGTCAATGGCGATCCAGAGAGTGGCTTTCTCAGTTTGGCTCCTCCAGTTTGCGCCTCGTCGAATGAGGTTCCGAGGCCTGTCGTTGCTCTGATCGATGTGGAAGATTCATTTATTCATATTGCACGTTATAAGCCATTTAAAATTATTTATAAGCCTTTTTTTTCAATTGCAGTCCTTCGAAGCTATAATTCTGTCAGGACTCGCCTATCATCCTCCCCTTTGAGAAAGAAACAGGTTTCCAAATACTTAGGAAATTTCCTGATTTTTCTCGAGATAATACACATCGTGAAGGATATCAAGTCATCGTCACGGCTATGAAACCGAGGACTTCAAATCATGAGCGGAAGCAGCGGCACGACCTCGCTTTAAGGGGTTCTGCTCTTAACACATTGCTGGATTCTATTCCAGGTTTCCACCGCAGAGGGTTTTTGCGACTATTTTCGTCATGAAGCCTTTACGTTGGGAAAATGTACATTTGCGGATTAAACTGCCTTCCAAGCAGTCGTCGCAGAGCACCTGTTCTACGTAAAGAAGGAGGGGAGAAAACACCCGCATTCCTTGGGAGCACTCGGAATGGAACGAAGGCATGAGCTGACCAGTGACGTAACATGGATATCGTCAAAGTGGGGCTGGGATGCCCCTAACTTCTGAAAAGGACGGGGTTGAGCTTCCAAGCCCCCACTCCTCTCGCTACGTGGCTGGGGCTGACCATTTTTTTTTTTCCTTGGCTCGGGGGTGAAGTTCGGTTGGCGTACGGATTTATAGCCGGGCTCGGGCTACGACATGAATGGAGCGAGGTTTCAAAGAATGGCTCCTTTCAAGACTAGTTCGGAGGCAGCCACCGTGACCCAGGCACTGTGAGGGGTGCATTCTCCCAGCTCCATGTATCTCATCAGTCACGTTATGTTCTGCTTACCGCCTTCCTCATACGAAGCTATTTACATGCAGTCTAGGGTCGCTATTAAGAAATTCAAGGGATGGTCGTTTTTTCTTCGTAAATTGGTTCTAACGAAATTTTGAAAATGGGTTATGAGAATTTTCGTTACACCTAGTTAAGTAATTTGTTTCAAATCACAGTAACACCTCGCCATTCGCTCCTCAAAAACGTTCTGCGTGTTCGAGAACACCTCGAGTCAGTTACAGTTCGCTCGCATCTCCTATTTGTAACACTCTTTTTCTGAGAAAACTTGTTTCGACACACGCCGATTAGCGATACGCTCGGTTTTTCAGGAACGCATCCCGAGCGCATAGCGAGGTATTACTGTACTGTATTCTGTAGAGCATTGCTTGGACCAGGAGCATGATTAATTGAATGCGCGAGTAATTGATGGCCGGCGCATGCGTGAAGTAATTACTATTCCGCCACAATTATAACTTGGTTCCCGCTCCACTATCGGCTAGTTATGAGACAGACCTGGCATGAAGTTTTCGATGTCTTCATAAAACTTGTTTCTGTTCATCGATAGAAGAAAATTACTTCGTGACTATGTAAATTTCATCATTTCGTTATTCCTTACAACGTTCCATCATTTGTACAGGGAGATGCTTGGGCCAACCAAATGATAAAGGCTTACATTTGGCACGTAGCCTAATTTGAACATGCAACATTAATTTGCAACTTAGATCCGGTATGACTTTCAGATGCTAGCTTAGATCTTCATTTCAGCTTACTGCAACTGGAAGATGTAAAACAGACAGCACGAAGAGAAACAGCGCTGGCCCCCCCCCCCCCCCCCCATTCACTGAAAGCAGCTATTGCCCCTCCCCTCTTAACAGAGGATCCGTGACCTTCGCGGTGGAGCTTCACGAGTCCGACCGTGTCTGACCAGCCCCCAGCCTGTTTTTGGCCACTAAGCCGCAACAATTGAGGTCTCTCGTGATGCATTATCGACACTAAGGGGTGCGAAATTCCAGCGATTTGTCTCACCTCAATGCCTTGAGAATGCTATGGGATCGAAGTCCATTTGCTTCACTTCGGAAGATGCGAATATTTCTCAAGTTACAACTAGTTTTGCTAGCGTTTCGATGGGAACGTACAGGGTGTTTATAAAGTCCTTGGCAAGTGTAAACAATCACTTGATATCCAAAATGGAATGGTGATAAAATGGAATCGTGGTATGCTTCACAAAAGCTAATTCTGAAAGATTGTAAAATAGAACGTTCCAGATCTACACATAACTTATCAAGTGAAGGCGCCAATATGGCGCGAGATGAATGCGTCAACAGAGGAAAAACTGAAATGGGATTGTGGGTAGCTAAATTGAATTCAATTACATGAATGGAACGAACGTTCGTATTGAACCGGTGACCACACTGACTGGTTCCATCGATGGTCCGCTTTTGCAGAATTCCAAGATGGTATGTCTTCAGACGGAGTGGGAATCTTGCGCTTTCGAATGATGTGTGAATGGAAAGTGATATTCTCTCAGTGTTACAATTGTTTCACATAATCCTCGTATTCCTGGGAATCATCCCTTGGCAGTTCCTAAAGAAATAAAATACAAAGTGTAGCTTTCTCCCTCAGCATTCGGTTCCTATTTTCAGTCACTGTTCGAAGACTTATTAACAGCCTCACACTCTAGGATCCCATTCTCTAATGTTCTATCTGTCCAATATCATTAGTGAAATTGCAGATATAATTTGCTTCACCGATGCTGCAGGCCCGGCACATTGCTCATCTGTCTATAGCCTGCTCCTACGTTGTCATTTTGTTCATGACTTTCATGGTTTTGCTAGTCTTAAGGTTGTTCTCAAAGTTCTCATTTCTCGGGGGATCTTGTGAATGTGAAAACACCCTGTTTTTCATATAAAAATTAATTATCAGGCAAATAAGTGTATTGTTTCAGTCCCACCCATTCGTCGGACGTCCGACGGGTGCCCAGGAAGAGCGAAGACTAGACCCTCTTCCTATTCTGTTCTCGTTGGTTTCAAGATGTTATGCACGGGAGGAGGTGAAAGTTAAGAGTGAAGGAAGTGACTTCTGATCTATGGGGGTTCCAGGAAAAGGAGCGCGAGAGATCGCTGGTCAGACCTCCCACCCTCCTTACGTATATTTTGGTAATTTGATGACATCCAACACTCAGCATCCGAGATACCCCTGCCGGGGACTGAAGTACGAAAATATATCAATTCAACTTGGAATCCCCGAACAGGCAAGAGGGAGATTCGTGTTACACACTTCGCCGCTGGTGTTTGTTGACAGGCGTAGGTCCCCCTTCGTAGACTTAGCCTTTTTCTGATTGTTTCGGGACGAGGGCCTAGGTGCTGCTTTGGAGCCAGATTATGTTAGTTAGTAGCTGGAGCCAGGAGGAACGACAATAAATAACTAGGGTGGGATTGGAAAGGGAGCAGTGCGAATGATCGTAGCCTCGAGATCCCCATCCGAATTCGTTGCTTTCTCCGTGCTTGCCACAAATCACGAGACAACATGCGGAAGGTGCTGCATTGAGGGTGGAATAAGCTCTTATTCGTTGTCACCTTCATGCTTTGCAAGAATGAACTATCGCCCGGGCTGAGATTAGTTCTACTGAGATGAAACCCACTCAAAGAAATATCAAAATGAATTGCTCTACGGAAACCCAAACGCGTGTAAAGCCTTGCCCACGTAAGGACATAGTCCATAATCGTCTCTTCTCGTGCTACAGATCTTGAAGAAAGACTTCGGAAAATGAGGATCCCAGTTTTGAAGAAATGTTGCTGCGGGTGCATGACCGTCAGGACGGGCAGCATCGTCATTGCAGTGTTTGGGCTGGTATGTTGCTACTCTTCCATTTTCATTCCCTCATATGTCATCATTGTTTTTCTTCAAGCGTTATTTATTCATTTAAATTATTATGTTCTCAGCAGTCCGTAGTTCCACCAAAGAAACAACTAAATTCATGTTATGATCGTGTAGCTCTTGATAATGCCTAAGTATATAAGAGAATTTAGCACTCTCAGGGAAAACCGTTGAGAAAATTGCCTGTTGAAACATAAATTTCGAGGTCGTTGAGATTTGAGTCCCTTAGATGATGTTCTAAAAGCGACTCCGAATATATCGGACCAACGTCTACATGGGATAAAGCTAGCCAGCACATGGTCCATATGGGACCATGAAAAGCCCTTGTGCAGTTCTGGTGGTTGTGTCAGTCTCATTGCACGACCATGTCTTATGTAATCCCGTTACTGATTCTGTTTACAAGCTAAGTGTCACGTCTGAAGTGCCAGAAGATTTACAGATAGGTATATATTTTTTGTACGCATGCGGAATTTCACCCGTTTCAGCGTTGAGGTTGTGAATCGGGAAATAAGGTCTATCAAGTCTTCCCACAGGTACTTTATTGCACACAAAAAAAATTATATTTCCATGAAAGGACATGTCTTTTTCTATTTTCTTCTGAGGCGGCGTAGATGAGAGATGTTTGATCATCTCCCCTGTAGACAGCAGGGGATGTGGTCAAACACGGCTTGCAGACTGGAAGTCTCAACACGCGGGACAGCGGAGTGTGATCAGGTTTCTATGGGCGCAGGGCCACACAACGGCGAAAAATCGTCGTGAAATAAGTACTGCGTATAGAGACAGCTGTATGTCGCAACGTCACGTCTGAAAGTGGTTTGAGAAGTTTGCTGCAGGACGCACAAGTGCCGGCGACGACGAGCGTCCTAGAAAATAGCAGCCGCCCGCTCGTCGTCGACGAAACTTGTACGTCCTGCAGCAAACTGGTCATACCGCTTATAGACGTGACGTTGCGACACACAGTTGTCTCTATACGCAGCACTCATTTCACGACGAATGCTGTGTGGCCCTGCGGCCATAAAAACTTGGCCACAATCCACTCCTCCTAACGTGTAGACGCTTCCGATAGGAAAGGTCAAGGTCAAAGGGCAAAGAAAAATCCTACTTTTGAAATATGTCTCATTAGCGTAGATTATAGGAGGGAAGTATTTCAAAATGTTTTCTCCACCCTTAAGAAAAGGGACACATCAAAAGATTTCAAATTAGGCACACTAGAAATGACAGAAGTAATGATTTTAATTTAAAAAAATGAAGACTTTCGACCCCATAAGTCGCTTATTTTAATGGGGACGTACTTTAAATACGTGTTCGTCATTTCGCAATGAATAAATGAATTAATCACTATCCTAGGTAATGGAGTGCCGAAGGCGCGAGCATAGCGCTAGTATAAAATAGTTGTTGCATGCAATATAGCATATGTGAAAAAATTTGATAGACCTTTTTCGACTTTCCTTCATAGTTCCCAGAATTTCTTCTTACTTGAGGGCCACACCGCTCTTCATGCTCAGCGGGTTTGGAGCACATTTAAAAGAACGGAATTTGAATAGTTGCTGACTTCCACGTTTCTTTTAATATCTGGAGATGCGAAGGATGAAATGAAAAATGCAAAATTTTGTCACCGATTTAATCGTTTGTCTTGCACGTTATCCATACAATATGCCACTCGGAAGCAAACATAAGCGCTTGAAAAGGTCCAGATACAGCTTCTTTGCGTCTCCGACTTTGGACGCTGATGCCAGGACCCGAGGAATGGGATTGCCATTGTAAAAGGTAGGAAAAGGTTATTAATATTTGTTTTTGATTCAGTTCTCTTAAAGCTGAGAATTCGCACCTTCCTCCAATTTTTTCCGAAAGTCATCTGCTCAGTCACTGGCGAAGTAACACGCTCCACTGCAAACATTGAGCAGCTCATGATACCACTTTCTTCTTACGAATAAGGAAACCACTGGTTTTATATCTCATCCAAAATTCGCATTTGCAGGTTTGTTATGGAATTACTCTCCTGATGTGCCTGGCACTCATCACCGGGCTGGCCGACTGGAAGGTCGGACTGGCCGCTTTCCTCCCAGAGGACGTTACGAGACAAAGTAGGTTCAACTTCTCGAGCGTATTTCAAACCGTTAAGTAAATCATTTTTCTTTATTCGTCGTTTCTGATGAAGCGGAGGCGGGAAAATCATGCCATAAGTGTATAAATACCTGTATTTTCACTCGGTCTTCCAACAAAAAACTGCACAGTTTCTCTCTACCAGAGTACATCCACAGCGGTTGTTCGACTAAGACGGCTCTCGAAAGTCAAGTTGATGAGTCAGATGATCTAAGATGGATCCAAGATGGATCGCTCCGATGACCGAGGAGGAGATCCATCAGTCCATCACTCAATGGAAAGTGGGATTACGTGTCGTATGCAACGCCGTAGGAGGACCCATTGCGCAACTTTTCAGATAAGCTTAAGCGTGAAAATTTTGAGGTGCCTTAGTCGAACGTTTGCTGTGGGTTTTAAAATGAATGGTTTTCAATGGGCCGAGAGAAAAGATAGGTGTATACTTGGTAGGACTTTTCAGTCCCTAACTCATTTTGAAATTAAAATATTAGAAAAAAAAAGTTTAAAGCGCCACACTGGGTATTTGGACGTTGTTTGTCACGAAGGTCAAAAAGTCGAGAACGGGGTTCTGGGGCTGTTCGGCTAATCACGCTCGCTTTTTTGCATTTCAGCTTCTGTCTACACGGTCGCGGACGTGGTTGTCGCCATCGTGTGGATCATATGTGATTCCCTACTTCTCGTTGGAGTTCTCAAGGTTTGTTTCTGAAGCCGCTCGAATGTCATACGTTCGCTCATATTGTTTCCTCAAACATTATTGAAACTTAATTGGCAATAAGTAGCAGTTTCTGTGCATCATAAAAAACGTGCATATATTTTTAAGTGCATGATATGCGAAGCTGAATTTACGCGGCATCCGAGAGCATTTAGACCAAAAGGAGATTCAGTCAGCATTATACTTGGGGGGCGGCGAGCAATTCGTGAAGGACCCTTTTTGCATTGAATGCTTCAGATGAGGAGGAAACTGATGATTCCGTTCCTGGGTCTGCAATTGGTTTGGCTGACGCTGGGGACGATCGCTGCGATCGTATTATTCGTCTTGTTTGCCGTGAATTCAGGAAGCACCATCTTCGTCGCCGTTACTGCCGTCGTCTTCGTCGTTCTCTATGGCATCGCAGTTTACTTCTTCTTCGTCGTCTATTCCCATTTCAAGGTGAGGAGACGCCGCGTTTCGTTATCGGAATGAATCAAGGAAGACTGGAATATTTTCAGCCAGCAACTGCGTCAGAAGTGCGAAACCTCTCGCTCGTTACGGATCATACCCGAGAAGCAGGGAAACGAGACCCACGTGGCAGGGTTTCCCTGTCAAGGGCTTTGATGCCAGAAGTGGTCGCGACTAAAAGGTCGTTTTGAAATATTGACTGCCGGATCCTGGTTGTCTTTTTTCCCTGATCTCTCAACATATAGGGAGATCGGAGGAAATTTTCCCGTTTCAGTGAAAAAAAGGTCAAAATCTCAGTGTTATTTATATCCCAATATGATTTTTAGCATACGTGTTGCACATGTTTACCGACATGTGTCAGCCAAATTTGACGGAAAACGATAATGAGGTCTTTTGCAAAATGAGTTCAAATTTCAGTGCATCTATTTTATATAACTACGTATTGCTGGTTTAGATTACACTTACAATTGTGTTGTCATCCGGAAGAGCAGGAAAAGACCTTCGCAAAGAGCTATAAAGCAGCTCTCTAGCTTGACAATAAGAGAAGTTATTATGATATTGAGGTACAGTGGGTGCAACTTGAAGGCAAAAATTGCAATTTTTTCCATTATCCCTTATCTTAATTGACCGAAGACAAAAATATGCCGGAAACCTCCTTTTCTCTATGCTATGGAGCGTTGGTTTAGATTTTATCAAAATTGGAAAGTCATGTTTTGTAGTGTGGTGATTTGACGTGGAATAACTCAATTTGTTTTCTGAGAGGGGACAGTTTTTACTTTTCATTGACCAAATTGTCAATATCTCAATAAGTTCTTGATTTCCCAAAATGATTCTTGGCAGACCTGCTCCACCTTCAGAGACTCTTTTGTAAGCCAAATTTAGCTGAAATCAAACGTGAGGTATTTTTCAATATTATAAATGACGTCATAAGTTGGCGTTTCGTTTTCATCGCTACGTTTTATTTATTGAGACATTACTTCCAAATCTAATAATATCAGGAGGGGCAGGAAGAGACCTTTCAGAAAAGCCATGAAGCGTCTCTCTATCTTGAAGAGAAGTTATAAGCTTGTCAATGTTTAGGGACAGAGGTGCCAAAAGGTACCGAAGCAAACATTATTTTTAAAGCCTCTTATCTTTAGATTTAAGCGACTGAGGAAAAATATTTTTAGATTTCCCACTTTCTCAATGGTACAAAACCTTGGTCAATATTTCACAAAATTCGGAGGTTATTTTTTTGCAGTGTGTTGATTTGACGTGGAATGACTATTAGCCATTAGCCCATGTGGGAAAAAATTCAAGATGGTTTCAAGTTGCATTGCTTCCTTGCCCCTCCCCCCCCTTGCAGTTTCACCCGAAAACGTCCCTGACTAACTCGTTACATCAAGGTGACGACGACGGTAATAAATAACTCAACTGTAGTCTTGCCATCTGGAACTTCTCGATACAAGCAAAGTTTCCAGAATGCAAGAGAGATGGTGCCTAAATCACCGTTGTTCGAGATTATAGTCCACAAGCTGTGGCCCGTGATACGTTCACGTTTTCCTAATTCTGGCCAATACATTTCTGTCTCATAGCATTCAAATGAGACCCACCGCTTGGTAATTTGAACAACCATCTTTTGGATCAATAATTTTGGATCCACCCCGTCATCTTCTCTCTCTAAATAAAATAAAAATAAATAAATATAAATAAATGAAAAAGCTGCACGCATACTAATTTCAAAGGAGCTCTGCCCCATATTCAAATCAGGCGCGCTGTGCTAATTTGGAAATCCCAGGATATTGATGGATGCTTCCCATCACCAGAAGACCTCAACTTTCCAAAATAACAAATCTCGTGGAATTTTAAGGAAACATACCAACTAAATGACTGACAGCCACGTTTTTTTTAATCAATAAAACGATATTCGTTCCACTATCAATGAACCCCAATCATCGGTTTACAAATTTTCAGCTATTTTCGCCCCGTAGCATTCAATTGAGAGTTTCGAAGGCCCGGGCATCATTCATCGAGTCATACAGCTTAGAGGCCTAAACGGGATGCGGGTCCGCAAAGCTCCGCCGACTATCGGGATCGGGTCCATCGGGTCGGGTTCGAAGAAGTCAATCCGTGCAGGCCTCCAGTGCACAATCAGAAAGACAGACCGACGTCAGCTATTAATATCAATCGCCTCTTATACCTCTTTCCCGCTTTAACTGGTTCGGTCGAAGCAAAGAACACTGCAATCCTGCTTGCTATTGCGACCTACGGGAAAACAAGAGATATTCGAAGAATTTGTCATTCTCACATCCGCAACGGACGTACCGCAAGAATCATCGAGAACTCTTGGAGTTTTCCGAGAATGGCGAGACTAGACCACCAAATTCCGAACGTCAACGCATGTGCTCACAAATTGGAAGGGTAAAATTCGACGGAAAGGGAAAACCCAACTGGTCAGGTTGCATATGTAATCCCAGAACTGTTCCTGGTCTGATTCTCAATTCACTGCCAGTGAAGAAAAATCTAAATTTTTCTGACGACGATAATGGACGTGATTGAGCACGTCGCAATGTATCACTTCCAAGCTATTTTTTCCATGAGTGAGGAGAACTAATGTATGTCTTTGAATAGAAAAATTTGCCAATATAATAGCGTAAACTTAATATCTACATATAAAAGCCTGCATTTACGATTTTTAGGATACCAAATACCGAATTGTGAAATTAGTTACCACGCCGTATTCGGCATCGCCCTAGTTAGCCCAACCGCTAAATATTGCTGTCAATCCAGTGTGCTCAGCACGTTGCTTGGGCATGGGCCAAAGTTTTATTCGACAATTATCAGAATGACCACTTTTGCGATAAGGTGCGGTGTTGCCAATTACTCTATGCAGTGCACCAAAATCTTCAACGCAATCATTTTTTAAAATCAAAGTTAGTTTGCTGATTTATAATATGCCTTTTAAAATGAAAATATTGTTTTTCCCATTAGCTTTTCATAAGAAACACCCAGGCTACATCTTCGGATCAGGGTAATCGCTTGAAGAATAGTTCCCAGGAGCATTCAGCCATTACGTAAATGAGTATGACAGATAAGTATCAGTACCTTAATCCGACCCTGGGAGCTTTTTTTCTCTACAGATATAGATACATTTCCTTTCATCATCCTGGAGAGTAATCGAAGCCTTCAGTTGATGCTCAGAGGATGAAGATGGTCGATGGTGTCTCCATTAGTAGCACTAACGTAGCGACCACATACCTGCACTCAGGAATGTTGTAATCATTTCGATCATCCACGATGGAATTGACGATGACGACCAATGAATTCCAGGAACTCGAGAGCTCGCCGCCACCCGAAGACGTGAAACACGCCCAGGAAAGCCCCGAAAGCGTCCCACTCGGAGACGCCCGCGAATCCTCTACGAAGAGCCCAGTGTAACCCCCATCGTCAACTTCCTTCTTCCCCATTTTTTTTTCCATCGCCATGCCGAATGTTCTCGTGGAGTGCCTGCGCTCGTGAGAAAATTCATTTCTTATTCCTTGGAGAATATTTCCAAGCTTCACTCAGTGAAACTCAGCTTCGGTTTGCGAGTATGCATTATCTCATTTCCTTGAGTGCGCTCAAGGGGAGCGCGTGATTGCTAAGGGCATTACAATAATATTAAAAATCACTTTCATTGGAACGCTGGGCCGCAATTTCGATTTTGCTAAGAGTTGGTACTCAAAGCTTCTTCGCTAACTTTAGAAAATCATCCAACTAACCTCATTTAGCCATATTTAGCTGTCTGAAGGAATATGCGAGAAATATGAGCCATTCAGGGGAAGCAGACAGATGCAGCATGTCCGCCAATATCGTTTCCATTTCAAGACTGATGGGTCAGTCCTAGTTTTGCTATGCAAATAGAAGTGTGCTTTTGGAAGGCCAGAGAGAACGTGTGTCTGATGACTCCAATCCCGGACAGAAGAATTTCCTGTCGTTTGGAAACAAATTTATTTCGTCCTCGGGCGGTCGAAGACTGCTTGGAAACCGATGGAAACGAAGTTTTCCATCCATAACGTCAATTTCTCCAGCTTGGAATTGCGGAATTCATTTGTTTTCTGAGCATGAATCCAAAATAAAAAATATTATTCCTGCCGACTTCATTCCTTTCTCGAGCAAATGGTTCAAGAAAATGTCGAAGCTGCAAAGCACTTGAAAACAGGTAACTTTCATCCATTCTCGCTTGTCGAGAGAAGAACGTGCCTCTTTTAATCGCCTTTTTGAGGAGACGGCGACCTGCTGCTGCGACAATAACGGCCCTTCTCTCGAACCGCCAACAAATCTCTCCCTTGTACAGTAGGGACAAAGGGGAGATTGCATTGCCCCCTCAATACTTCCCTTCCTTTCCTCAATGGCCCCGTGCCGTTGTGATGCGGCAGCGGTGGTCCTTCAAATGAATGCTATTGATAGATTCATTTTATGTCCAATGATTCAATTTAATGAAATTGGCCGCGTCACCGATTGAGATTTTTTCTGCAAAAATAAGAGGCCGCTGAGGGCTATCGAAAAGTGGTGAATCCAAAGTTGTCGCAATTTCTGCCCGGCGGTCTGCTAGAGATGCATTCATCAATGCGGGAGAAGGGCAAGATGATGCGTCGGTCAAAATCCACTTCTCCCAAGCAGCTGAAGATGGGAAGCATGGTTCATTTCTTATTTTAAATCTTATACTCAGATGGTTCGAGCACCTTGCGAAAGTTCCATTTATATCTCAATAGAGAAGAATCCTTTATTATAAATTCAGAATCCTCTCCGAAAAAGGTTTCATGGAATGGAGTTACGAGCATCCGATCATGGGATTTCTGGAATAATTTATTTCTCTTCAAATCGCTTATCTTACGTCAAAACCCCCAGTAACCTCAATCTTTCAGTAATCTCAACTATCAGGCCTTAACCTGATGGTTGTGCCTGTGCACTCTTGTTTTCTCGTTCTTTTCCATGATTGTTCGCCATCGTTTTTGATAAGTTTGATATCTTTCTTTTCCTCTTTTGAATAAGCTACTGTTTGCATTCTGTTAGCTCCTCATAAGCATTGGTTTGCATAATTATTATTCGTTGGGTTCTCCTATTTTTCTTTTCTTTTTCTTTTTCCTCTCCTTTCTTCTTTTCTTTCTTTTCCTTTTTTGATAGGAGCATCCTTCTTTGTGCTTCATCCTTGTTGTTAATTCCCGTTTTCATTAGGCCTAAGTTTTGCCTGGATCCAGGCTAGTACATCTTAATTAGTACCTTTTCTGTATTCTATTCTTTCCCCTCCCCCCTTTCTTCATTCTGTCACATGGCCGGACGTACTCTGACCTTGAAGCTTTTACATTGATTCCTTCGCTTTTCTTCATCTGCCTGAGGCTAGGCGCCCTTGCTTCTTTCCCCTCGCTCTGCTTTTTTTTCTGTGTGTCTATTCTGTTCCTTTCGATTCCACCCCCTCGCACGGTTTCCGTGCTTAGGGGTGGATTTTTGAACAGAGCATTATCCGATAATGCTGCTTCATTTCAGAGAAAATGCATTGTAAATCCGGTAAATAAAGCTGCATTATCGGATAGTTCTCTGTTCAAAAATCCACCCTAGGTCTTGTTCTACCCCCCCCCCTTCTCCCTCCCTCTCGCTCGGTTCCATCGATACGAGTGACCTTGTGATCCTTTTTTTCGCCTCTTAGAATTTCTCGTCCTCATTCAGTGGGCGAACGCCTTCCTAGGAAAAACGCTGTTCTGTTTCTTGCAGTAGATAACGCCTCCTTGGAGGAGCACGTGTTAGCATTGTGCACGGATATCCCCCCCTCTTCCATCTGATATGCCAGCCGTATTTCGAACGGGAGGATATGTGTCTGAGTCCGAAGCTATTGTGAATACTTTGATCTCCACTGGTTTCTCCGTGACGGGAACCTTCTGTGAGGTTCGTCGCCTTGACCAGTCGTCCAGGAAGTTGGTGCTTTCTAATGTATCTCCTGAACTCCCTGACTCCATAATCCTGGAATCCTTATCACCACTTGGTAAGATCACATCCCCTCTTTTCTCTCTTGGAGCCTCTCTGAAGAATTCTAGTCTACTTCATGTCAAGTCTTTTCGTCGTTCTCTGTACATTCACATTCCTAATGAAAATGCCGTCCCTTCTTCCATACCCATCAGTTTCCAAAACATAAACTACAGAATTTTCCTTTCTCTTGGTGACATGACTTGCTTCCATTGAAGGGAAGCAGGCCACACCAAAGTAAATTGCCCCTAGTTGAACAAAACTGTTCCTTCCTCCAACACAGATCATACTTCAGTCCCTCCTCCCAGTCTTGCTGCAACAAGCACAAATCTCACTGAATCAACATTAAAGAATATATCTGTTCAGGCTTCGACTTCTCTCACAACACCACCCCCTCACACTAAGATGGATATTAGTGAACCCGAACCCAGGAAACCTTGACACAGATCCTCCTACCTGCACACAGACGCATACCTCATCATCTTCCACTGAACCTGAAACGATTTCTAAAAAGGACACGCCATCAAAATCTATACTCAAGACATGTCTTACGAACCCTGCTCCTTGCTCTTCTAGTGCACACATTGATACAGAATGGCCTGCTCTTTCCAGTACACCATCCAAATCCACACATGAAACGTGCTTCCTCTTTCTCATCTTTCAATGACATTGAAACCAAGAAGAAACCCAAAGATGCAATCTCACAACCACAGTCAGTATTACAATCACAAGACACGGTATCGCCAACAATATCTCAACCCCTTCCTTTCATGGATTTCACTGCTGCACAGAAAGAAGTACTCTCACAACTTGACACTGATGATTCCACTCTCACATCTACAAACTTTCTGAATTTCCTAAATGAGGCAAAGATCAAGCAGAAACCATTGCCCATTGCCCTCAAGTACACTGACAATGTCCACGCTTTATTAGAAACTCTTCACATGTTCATTCACATGTCTTATACGACTCCTGGCGAGAGTTTTACCCAGATGATCGCGCTTTTACTTATACTGGAACTCACGAGCACAGACCAAAATCGCACTTAGATCGATTTTATGTTAACGGTTACACTTTTACTCAGCCTACAAAGGTGAACATTCAGCCTACCTCAGTTCTGTCTGACCATTACCCAGTGTCAATATCACTTTCCTCTCTTGTTCAGAGTTTTATAGGCTCTGCCTATTGGCATTTAAATAATTCTCTGCTTTTAGATCCTGAATTTTGTACTTCCTTTATTTCTCTTTGGTCACAATTGTTCCTTACAAAGACGTCACAACCTCTTCTCACTTGGTGGGAAAACACAAAAGCATCCATTAAATCATTTACACAGCCATACACATCTTTCAAGTCTACCACTACCAAGATCTAACTTCACACGCTTCAGTCCGACATACTCTTTTATGAACAGCATGACCCAACAAACCCCACCCTTCAAGATAAAAGAGATCTTCTTTCACAGTTTCATGAATCTGCAGCAGAAGGAGACATGATCCGCTCCAAGCACACTATTTGAAATTTACTCGACGCCCCAACGAACTTTTTCTTTTCCCTTGAAGGAAGAAAAGCTGCCAGACAGACATTGACAAAAATTCGCAACAATGACACTGGAGAACTTTTAACAGACGCCTCATCGATCTTGCAATACATATCTTCCTTTTATACCTCTCTTTACACATCTGAAACTGTCATTTCTCCGGATCTTTTTCATAGTATTCCAATTTTATCTGAGTTTGAACAGAATTTCCTTGCTTCCAATTTTACACCTTCAGAGTTTGATGACGCTGTGAAATCACTCTCAAGACGTAAAAGTCCAGGGCTTGATGGACTGTCCTCTGAATTCCATCAATTTTTCTGGCCCCATTTGAGAGAAACAACACTTGAAATTTTTCTTCACTGTCTCCAAACTGAAGAGTTGCCACTTTCAATGAGGAGAGGCATCCTAACTCTCCTCCCTAAACCAGGCGACCACACTGATATAAGAAATTGGAGTCCTGTGTCTTTACGGGACACTATAAAATTTTTACCAAAGTTCTTACCAACCGCTTAAAGAAAGTAATTAGTTCCATAGTCCAACCTGATCAAACTTATTGCATTCCCAACCGTACTATCTTTGACAATTTGCACCTTTTAAGAGATACAATTTGATATGCAAATAAAGAAAATTTACCTCTAGCATTAATATCTTCGGACCAACATAAGGCCTTTGACCTTGTTAACCATGAATACCTTTTTTATCACCTTGCAAAATTTCCCACCTATTTTATTGATGCAATCAAACTTGTTTTTTTAGCTTTAATCAGTGTTTAGTTAGAATAGGTAAATTTCTGTCTGCCCCTTTTCCATTTCTTCGTGGTATTCGGCAGCGTGATCCCTTATCTGGATTGCTGTACTCGACCTCAATTGAACCCTTTCTTCATTTGCTACGGTCCAGACTGCAGGCCTTTTCCTTTTCACCTCCACTGACAAATTCCAATATTACAGTTTCAGCTTACGCCGATGATGTCTCTGTTTTTATAGCTTCCAATGAAGGGTTTCCCATTTTAGATGAATGCTTTTCAATTTATTCGGCTGCATCAAACTCTTCCCTGAATACTGAAGAAACAAATGGTTTATGGTGCGGCTCATGGCGTGGAAGGATTGATGGACCCTCTTTTGAATGGAAAAATGACGGGCTTAAGCTTTTGGGCATGTACCTTAGTGATCCCACTTTTGAGCAATTGAAATGGGAATTAGCAGAAGCCAACCTAATGGAATCCATGAACTCATGGCAAGTTAGATTCCCTGAAATGTCCTATCGAGGGAGAGTATTAATTTTAAATCAACTTGTAGCTTCAAGGTTATGGCACCCATTATCTGTGCTAGATCCTCCTCCGGCCTTTCATAAAAGATTTGAAAGTAGGTTCCACCAAATTGTCTGGCATAGAAAACATTGGTTGCACTCAGCTTACTTAAATCGTCCTCTTCTCCTCTTCCCTCGTCAAGGACTCATTTCTCTCGAAGCTCGAAAACAAGCCTTTCGTTTACTTCACCTCCAGAAAAATGTGAATGAATTTTGCAATAGCCCCACATCCTCAGCCTTCCCTTTTTCTTCTCAAGGTTGTGTGGTACTTCGCCCCCTTCTCAAGGTTCTTTC